TTGTCACTGCTTCCCTAAGCTTCATGGACCTTACTTTCTGTTTTATTTCAACACTCTTCTGAAGATAAATGTTAAGAATCCTAACATGTGAACCAGAATCTTAGGGGCATAGACTCTTAGCACTAACACGACCAAGTCTTCAGTTACTTGCGTGGTTCATTCCTATCCTTCCTGCTCGATCTGTCTTTGGTCAGACGACATTCTCTTCTTTCAAGTTGCACGAACGTCAAAATGTGCATGGATGAACAGGGTGAACGGTGTTGACCGAGTGAAATATGACATTCACGAAATTGGATAAAAAGCGGTTTGTCTGGATTTTAAATGAAGGATTTTCACAGATTAATAAATACAAGTACTTTGTGTATGTGCTGGCTTATCGGTACCCCGAGATAATACGGCTATATCGCAAACGAGCGTTCGTACGGAAGCAGAACCAGATAGTTCAAGAAACAGAGGACGGTTGTACTGTGATAACCTGCAGGGCAAAAAGGGAGATGCGAAAGCGTGAGCAAGCGTGCAGAAAGTGAAAGTAAACACGTGCTGACCAAAGAGGTGGACCTGATGTGGTAAAACAATGTGATGCAAAGGAGGAACGTTACACGTAGACTGGGAGTTTGTTGGTCACTACACTTGCACGTTATTGCCTGGTTATTGGGTGTGATTAGGATGGTTTGTGAGTTCCAGTGATTGATCGGGTCAAATAAGGTCACATGAAAATCGGTATGTGCCAACGAGAGTCAAATTTCTTGCACAACGGAGCTTCAATTTTTCCGTAGGGGATTTTTTATCAGTAAGAGCTACTAGGAACCGAGGCACAAGGGAAAATTTTTAGGAGACTGACTGATATTAATTTTCACCAATCACAACACTTCACCTCCATGTTTGCCATCCCCTATATTCTGTTGATAGAATCCATGGTTACAGAGACAATGATTGAACTTTTCGTTATTTGTATCCGTGATCGGTTCAAGCGTAGAATGCTATCAAATTGCGTGAGTCACCACGAAGCGTGTTTAGTTTTAAGTATCCTTACCTGATCCCGTTTCAAAAAATCAATTTCGAAAGAACTTGTCACTGCATAATTTCGGTTGCAAATGAACAACTGAATTCGGTCAGACAGTTGTTTAAATCTATCACTTTTGGCGGGCCCCAAGCGTCGAACGCTGCGGATCACGTTTTGCAAGGTTTGTTCCTGTTTTGTGAATATCTCTATTATTTTCATGCTAGAATGGTGCGACTCAATGTGCTTGCTGATGCTTTGCGTTCAATTTGCAACGCTGAAAAGCGCAAAAAGCGTCAAGTGATGATACGCCCTTCCTCCAAAGTTATCATTCGATTCCTTGGTGTTATGCAACGAAAGGGCTACATCGGTGAATTTGAGATTATCGACAATCATAGAGCAGGAAAGATTGTTGTGCAGTTAAATGGCCGACTAAACAAATGTGGAGTTATCAGCCCCCGGTTCGATATGTCCGTGCGGGATAATGAGAAATGGACTAGCAATCTGCTCCCTTCCCGTCAGTTCGGGTAAGCTCTCATTGTTTACGTGTCAACGGCTGTAGTTACCTTGTCCTCACAACAAGCAGTGGTATCATGGACCATGAAGAGGCTCATCGCAAGCATCTTGGAGGCAAACTTTTGGGGTATTTCTTCTGAGTTCTAATAAAGTAACTGGAATTACCGACTACTCTTCTCTCCTTTTTAATGGGGTAAGCTGTATGATCATGCACATGGCCAGGTGCTAAAGACTTGTTATCCCTTTACTGGTTATTCGTGATATTTCGGGACGACGGCTAACCTCGCAATCCGCTGTTCATACCATCCAATTTATGATCCATATCATCCCTCACATAACAGTGAGTAGCTCCGCAAATCCTGTATGAGTTAATCCCATTACCCTCAGTGTCCGTTGTCAAATATCCTTATTGCCAAATACGTAGGGCCGGAATGAATCAGTCCAACGACTTGATAGGGATTCCAATTTGTGTTGGATAGCGTCGTTCCATTAACAGATTCACATCGTATTTGAGCCCCCAACTTCATGCCACATCTGATTGCTAGCGTAGTAATAATGCGTTTGCTTTTTGACCCCTGAGTCGTTCCTGGATGTCAACGAGGTTCTGAGGACTACGGCATTACAGTAAAGTGATCGTTCGGAACAGAGCAGATGAGTATCAACTCGAAACAGGCTCAACTGTGGGTGCATCCTATTTGGGAAAACTGATTATTTTTGTTTGGGCAGTTTCGCACTGCGGTTATCGCTTGGAATTACAGCCCGGTTACTAATAACGGTGTCTGACGTACTCCGTGTTCCATTGTACATTTTGATTAATGTGCTGGACCGTTCTGGGCTCCGATCCACGGTTGGTTATGGGGACGGGGTCCGAATCACGCTGTTAGATTTTCAAGTTTTTAGTTAGCATTATATTTGAGTTCAGTTTAGTTATCGTCAGACAAGAAGGGCTACGGTCAATCGAGCGTCCGAATTCCTTCGCTGATGTGCGGTTAAGTTTGGCACCCACCCGTGCTTACTCCTAATTTACTTGTGTCGGTTGATGAATGATCAGACCCCCAGTTCAGGTCACCGTTCGTCCAAGGCCATCTTGAATGCCAGCACCTGCAGTTCTATCAGCTCATCGGGTTGCCTTTTCCGTATGTCAACTATCCTGTTGCTGAAGACGCGTGATCGGGCGATCGATCGATACCGGGTCTAAACCCTTGTTTACCGTTTGCTCTGCTAACCCTCAGCCATTCTCGTCGCCAGCCGTTGAATGCGCCCTAAACGGGTAACATTTTTGACAAAGGGTAACCATGCATGGACACGAAACTAAGTGGGACCGGACAATGATCTTTTAGGGAAACCTTGGGTGTACGCCATGACAACGCCTGAAAAGCTCACCCCAGCTCTTCGTGCTGCTGTGGTACACTAATCCCAGCATCTGACATCAGCTGTTACCTAAATTCCTAGGTCTTATACATTGCCGCCTCCAAAGTGAAGCGACCTGCCTCGTATCCTGCTGTGGTACCCTCTACGGTTCGTGACGCCAGGTGGCTTTTGCCAGCATTCCGTGGCAAGTCCCGATTGAGGGCCCAGCCTAAGACTGCAGCGGTATCCCCGACCGTATCTTCTCACCCGTTCGACCTTCACATCGTCTGCGAACAAAAGGCTCGGTTAGTGGAGCGTTAAGGTTAGGTTATAATAAGAAAATATCCCGGGTATTCGTTTTCCACAGCTCTTCCGTGTTATTTGCCAAATGGGTCTTATGTTTTGCGTTCTTTCAATTGCACATGGAAAATCTTTTGCTGTCAACCTGTATGACGGGTTGTGGCGAGGAGTGCTTCTATTGAATGGGGCAAAACCTCAGCGTGGGGAATAATAAGTGGGCATAGCAAATGAGCTCGCGGTTTTCTCTTAACATATCCGCCTGACTGCGGTTCTGGTGTCCGTAAACATGTTCTACCTATTCCATCTGGTGAAATAATTGTCTCCGGTCGTCGATTTTCGTGGTTCTTGAGGTGAATGGGTGCTTCTACCAGATGTTTTTGGCGACCAAACTGAAGTGACGGTCACATTCTCAGTGTAACAGTAGTTTCTCGAGTGGAGAGTATGTTCAGTATATGCTTCATCTATGTGAAAGATACGTTAGATCCAGGGAAGGTTTCACTGATAATATTCGCATGAGCGATTTCGGTGAAGACACTTTCTAACAGTTTAGCTTCATCGGTTAGGTACGGTATTCTGTATGGTACGGTGCGTGATGGGAGAATGTCGCCACTTGATGTGTTAAACACTTCCAAGTTGGCGAACTAGTCCCCAAACAAGTCACTGTATTAACGGGAAGCTTCGCTCCAAATGCTTGAGCGTGAGGTTGAATTGAGCTCTGAATCATGGGTTGCGCAATGTGTGTCATGTGGACTGTGATGCATCTCATTTGCTTTTCTGGAATTAATCGCGACTGATCGCCCTGCGAAGCGGTGTTCGTGCAGTGGTCACGAACGTTCAATTTTGCAATCCTCTATTTCCGCCGCAACTCTACCTTCAGCTTTTCTGTCTTTATCCCTACAAATGGTCAACCAAAACCTGCGCCCGAAAGTTCGTGGTTGATTGTTGTACAAACTGAACTGAACCGTTACCAACGTGCAGACTGCTCTGTAGTGCCCATATCACTGGTTGCTTACAATCGTTTGTGTTTAATGCGATGTGATTTTTCACAGGAGCTCAGTTATTGAGATAAGGGCCTAATGCTTGTCGGTCACCACGCTCACTTTAGTCCTCGAGCACAACATTTAGCTTGATGAATGATAAATGCCTCGATGGGTGGTCTGCAGTAACGGATCCCTATTTTATCACACGCTAAGTGAACTACAGTACAGGGGCCTAAACCCGTCGTCAGTCGGCGTTGCAAAAAGGCGTGGTGGTGCATTCGCGTGAGACTTCCGTGTTTCACGAATGAAAGATTCTAAGTTGATAAAAAGAGGGGGAGTAAGTGCTCGAGAGTCAGGTGGACTGGGGAAAAAAGAAAGATTGCAGGAGAGGAGTAATTCTAGTGAGTGAAGTTTACTAAGAAAGTGTAACTGTCTGTGTACGGGATGAGTGGATAAGTTACAGGAAGAGAAAATTCTGAAACCTGAACAGCCATGTTAGAGGATACAGCGAAGCAACTACTCGGTGATTAGTTAGTGATAGAGGATTACAATTCAAGACGCGGATTTTGGTCTGTGGAAAAGCCTTTCACTGGATAAAACCTAGAAGGAAAGAAAAAACGGCCCAAATCACAAGTGACTGTGGCATTCAATTTCAGGGCAGAGTTTAGTCTGATATGGGAGAACTTAATCTGGGAAGAAGTGTGTGGCACAATGAAAGTAATTGAAGATTCAAAGGAGGAATAGCGCGACTAATGTACTACCGGAGACG